GTCTGGATGCTTAGATGGGGTATATACTAGAGTTTACCGAAACCCTATCCACACCATACCCATTCCTTAAAGATAAATCAAAGCCGAGTTCATTGCCAATGTCTCTGGTATGGCGTCACTACAACTGTAGCCGATCTTCTAATGACGTGTAGGGCCTTGCAATCTAGACGCCCAAGGGGTCGAATAGGCACGAATCGAGGCTTAGTTCTCGGGTTGAAGTTCTGTGATTGTCCATATCTCAAGAAGCATACTGTATGTAAACCAAGAGGGATTCGTACTGCCCGAGGGTTGCTCCAATGACAGGGTGAAGCTAGCCATCACATATATGCCCCCCTTTATGTCAGTATGCAGCTCTTAACCAGCACACTAGTAGAAGTAAGGCGTACTAGATTCTCAGACCAATATCGAGGGCTGTGATCGATATCTTAGCAATGCACCCTACCATTGACCACAACGCATGAGTGAGTCACCTATTCTTGTCGACCAGGTTAATTTAACACGAGCTCCTTCGAGAATCATCTTTGGTGCGAATCGGGAAGTACGCCTGTCGTTCCGACCAATCATCACCGGAAACGGAGTAGTTGCCGGTTGTCGTCGTAGCCTGTTTTTTCTAGCTCAGCATATTTTGATAGAGAGGCTTAAAGGCTGATGGAAGATATATCATTTCGCCTATGACATCATTCGTCAGCGGATTGCCCAATATGCGGCTGCATCTGGGGACTAATCCCTGGTCTCGATTCAAGTGTCTACTTGGGTAGGATGAAAGTCTGAAGCGCCGTCAAGGATTACGATCTGGATTCCGCCGTGACTTGCATACTCCCCTTACATTGGGAGTGTTGTTGTACATGCACACAACCGAGACTTACATATGGTGGTGACAAAAGGTTAGAGCCGCGTCACCCCTGGTCTTGTTTAAGATTTCGCGTAGCTGCATCAAGCTGATCGATGGACGTCTCACTTAGTGAGGTTACCCTGGATCTCTCCTGATCTAATTCCCTAGGGAAACTTCCACATGGTTCTAGCAAACATACAGTTGAGTTGATGGTTTAATGCATGCATCTGCTAAGATGAGTGGCGTAGTAATGGGAAGCTATGTTGGGCGGTTTGTTGTTACTTATCCACTAGGGATATGTAATTACTTTCGCTTTATGCATCTGTCGTCCAATGGGTTTCTCGGGTAACATTCGTGCACAGGTTCAAAGAGAGAACCTGACGGCTGGTGATGTCAGAAGGCCGTCGCCTAACTATCTAGCATCGGAGGTGTCTATTCCCAAGTGACGTAACTGCTATGAAGCGAAGACCCTTTCGGGCAATCAATCCAATCCAGTGGCGTCCTTTTACAGTGCAGCGTTGGTCTGGTGATGAGTGATCGTGTCGGTTTCTCGCAGAGTGCTTCTACGCTTTCCTCGTTTGACCTTCTTTTTTACCCTCTCAATCGTCGCCCCGTGAGTTGTGGGATGGTAGCACAGAGAATGTCAAGCAGATTGAGATGTGACAGAATGCCCATATCCCTTGCATCAGTCGCTTCATCTTATTCGCTGCCCCAGCCATGGGTCCTGGATCGGCAATTGATATCATAAAAGAGAACGGGCGGAACGTTTTCCGTCGCCGATACAACAGGTCCCAGGCGGTCAAGTTGGCTATGCGCGAAATAGATACAAAAATTCCTTGGTAGAACCTATAACAACCGCGGCGTAAGTGGGTAGGTGGACGGATAACCGGGTGAGAATGCAGTTCCGTATCGCTATTGCAACTCCCTGTCAGACGTTTGCGTCAGTCATGTGCTATGGAACATGCAGGACCCTTCGAAGGATTCATTCGCAGGGGCAGTGTCCCCCGCGTAGATCTTGGTAGCTCTCCTTGCGGGCCATGCCATATTGCACATGCGCACATGGACGAAAGGTCCAATCATGACGAGAGATTCGCAAACCTATCCGAAAGCGTGTTGGGCGCTATGACGGCTAGGGTGCACCTGCAGATCGCCCGCCTTTCCCATCACTTGGTATTGGTAGAGCAGGGTGAACGTGTAGCTGAAGACTGACGTCTTGTTGCATTCGCACGAGCAAGAGGGAATAAGACAAAGGACCCCTCCTGCATCTGCTCTAGATGATGCCTTCATAGCCCGAGGTAGAGATAGATTAGCTCTACCTCCTTATCTTGATAGTAGGTAGTAGGCCGAGGCCGCGTTGCATATGCCAGATGGGAGGTGGAGGAGTGGCGGTAACGTTGACCTTCAGCTTGCCAGCTTGCCAGCTTGCTAGAGGGCTAGAGGGGTAGAGGGGTTGCAAGGTGCCTCACAAAGTGCCTTGCAAAGCGGCTGGCGGACCATAGTAACACAAGAGGTTGCAGAAGAAGTTATCAGCTGATCCAGCACGAGCCTAAACTGCGAAACTGCGAATTGCGACGAAACCAAGCACGTCTATTCTGACCAATTTTGAAGAGGTAAGAAAGGAAGCGTATTGAAAACGTCAGAGTTCCCAAGCAAAACGACACCACAACTGCAAGTCGCGATCGTCGCCACACCGAGGGACCCCTACTCCAGTGAACAAGTCAGAAGTATCACATATTATACGGGTTTCCCATCCCATGTATGTATGGACCCTAGCCGAGCTAAGAGATGCTAGAAGATGCAGGGTCGCCAAATGCGGGAATCAGACGAGACGGTTCGGGTATCTTACAAGATACGCTATAGAACGTGTGAACGTGTAGAACGTGTGAACGTGTAGAACGTGCAGATAGATAGAGCGTATAAGAAAGAAGAGTATGTAGAAAGAAAGGTGGGAGGAATGCAAGTGCCCTTGCCCGCCTGCAAGGATCTGTCATAAGCGATCGACCGACCAACCCCACGGATAGCCCCGCACCGAACCCCAAAAGATCTTCAAGAGACGTTCTTTCCCTCGACTATTTTAGGTATTCCAGTGCGGAATTCGTACAGAATAGAGGGCGCTACTGCGATCAAGTCCGTACTTTTTTCTTCGGACTTTCCGTCTAAGTACGTAGCTATGCATATCGGATTTTTTTGATAAAGATATAGAAGCTATAAAACTATTTGATATATACCTGGTATAACATATACATACACACACTCACACACACCTACACACACTCATATACACGATATGATTACTTATCTGAGATAGTGTTAACCTAGGTAGACGAGCCCATTTTTTTAATAGGCGCGATATGTACATGCATACATTTGAAGCTACATCAGTAAATCAGTAACCACATATTGCCTACCATAGCGGCAAAGGGTGGTTTTGAGAAACGATTCCTCGACCGAGTACCGTACCTCCCATATGCATTATTCATTAGAGAGGCAACGTTATTTCTCAGAGAATTATTTCTCGACGAATAATCGTTTCTCGAAAAAAAAACAAAATTTTCAATTCTTTTAATTTTTTTTAATTTTTTTTTTTTTTTTTACACTCGAGCTGATTCGAATAGTGGATTTTGGACTTTGGACATTTCATGGGATTTACGGGTTGCGGGTTTTACTACTAGGCCAATTGGGGTTTAATACATGCACGCGAGAATATCTTATTATTCAGCATTATATGCTTTATCTAATCAAAAAAAATCTTAATTTCAAGTTGAGAAACGATTTTCTACCCGAAAATGATAATCTAGACAAAAACGATTTTTCTCAGGTAAATAATTATACGTATGAATAACCGTTTCTCAAAACCACCCTTTGCCGCTATGGTAGGTACTTAGATATGTTGGGTAGTAATCAGATTAGTGCGTTTTAGCAGTCTAGCTAGGTAATCCAATAGCACCACGGGTATATACGGAAACAGATACCCAAGATTAGGTTTATGGTGCTAAACCACTTCACATTAGATACATGTTAAGTAATACATATGATAGGTGCAAGAGTAAATAGTTCATGTATGAGGTAAAGTAAGAATATTGAAGTTCATACATGCAAGCAGCTTTCCATATGAAGAATAAATTATGTACTCGTCACTTGTTTAGTTTAGGGCATGGTTTAGCAGGTGCGCATTATACATGTATAGGCCAATGTAGTCAATGTATTGTGCAGTTATCATGTTGATTGACGTAAGGTTCCATCATTCGAAGTATGCATGCGAGGTAGGTATACAATGTACCTAGGTACTTTGTGACATTTATTAAACCTTTCTGTATACTTTTTGTCGGAAAGAATTCATTAAAAGGGGGACAAACTTACTTTGGGGAAACTTTATTCGCCCGCACATTCGGGTTTGTTCCTGCCTTGTCGTCTGTCATACGTTGATGTAGATCGGGTACCTGGCAACACATGGAACTTACACCAACATTCCTAAGCATCCACCTTGCACCTTGCACCTACCTACTATTTACAGCTTAGAAGTAATGGAAGCTGGAGAATTTTTGTAAAGGCCTACATAGTTTTGGTGAGGGACAGGGTAACAATGCAAATACGCTAGTTTATGTATAAATTATGTACGTTATGTACCTCTCTACCTTTTTAGATCACAAGGTACATGTACATACATACCTTAAGGTATACTACTTATATTGACGCCCTATTAAGGTACTTGATGGGCCCTATTACGTGCTTCATCCATGAAACTCAGACCCTCGAAAAAATATTCGTTCTTCGTCCTCCCCCGTTTTCACTATTTAAGGTTGACTACCTCCTCCCTCACCACCCCTCCGAGTTTTTTCTGTTTGACGTAGTCCATTCAAGTCAACTCTTATTTATTTGTGGTCTACCTGGATACTCTATTCCAAGGTGAGTAAGGGTTGTCCTCGAGCCCCTCCTATTCTTCTACCCCCATTACACTATAACTACTCTAATAACTACCTCTACCGCTATTCTTGAGCCTCTTGGGTACCCACGCCTACTTGTCTCCGCAGTGATAAAAAAAACGCTAAAACATTTCCATCGTAGCTTCGTCAACTCACCAGAGCAATTGACGAAAAAAAAGAAAGGAGAAGAAAAAAAAATATCCTCAAACATAATTTCTTTTCCAACCACAAATCCAACTATCACCATGGGCGTCACAAAGACCGTCATTGAGGAGGGCACCGGGGCTCAGCCTTCTCCCGGTCAGTCTGTTACTATCGAATACACTGGCTGGCTCAAGGATACCTCCAAGCCAAATAACAAGGGCACTCAGTAAGTACAGACAGCAATGTGCCAATGTTTCAATGCCCCGCTACCTGAGATATTTGAATGCTGGCTTGGCATTGACGTCAAGGATAGCTGGAGGCTCATAACAGTTGACTGACCTATGGACCAGATTCGACTCTTCGGTTGGCCGGGGTGACTTCGTCACCAAGATTGGCGTTGGCCAGGTTATCAAGGGTATGCTATCCCTTTCGACTTCCATTTCTTTTGCATGCTGATACTGATGTTGTATTGCATATTAGGTTGGGATGAGGGTGTTCCCCAGATGAAGGTTGGCGAAAAAGCAACGCTCGATATCACTAGGTACGATATTACCCCCCCATCAGAATTAGTAGTTAGCATTTATACTGACTTACATCACTGTAGCGACTTTGGCTACGGAGCCAGGTAAGCTCCTTCCATCCCTCCCATTCCTCCCCTGCTCTAATTTTCATATGCAAAATTGTCAATATCCACTCTACTCGTTCCCCTCTTGATCCCCCCAACGGCATAATTCTTAAAGAGACGCGAGACTGACAAATCTCTTAGGGGCTTCACCGGCCACATCCCCCCCAATGCTGACTTAATCTTGTAAGTACCATAGTCAAAGCGGACATGTCGTCCGAGGTCATGCCCGATGCTAACCTCTGTCTTCCAGCGATGTTCATCTGAAGAAGATCCAGTAAATTGCCATTCGAAATAGTTCTCCAATATGGGAATGAACTTTTGTTCATGCAATTCGGCAATGGGCACGGCATAGGATAGGAGGTTCTCGCTTCAGTTAGGTTTCCTTTTTTCTTGCTGCATGCAGCATGGGCTAGGGCGGCTTCTGTGTGAGAGGCTAGAATCAGACAATCGTTGACCACTGAAATCCTCTACTCGCTTGTGCTCTATTTTCGTGATACCGTGCCGAATGTCTGGGACTCGCAGATGGATCAAAGTACATTTGTCACCTCCTGGATGCAACTGTATCATATGATCATAAAGCCCTTCTAAAGTCATCTGTCTAAACCTGGACTAGCCCGAATCGAGGCTACTCGCAGAATCTCTGTTTCACAGCAGATGGGAGGTTGCAATAAAAGTTCGAGTTTGTGACCGAACCTAGTGTGTTGCGTGGTAAAGATATGAATCGACACCCTTTCCTGGAGGCATGAATTCGATATCTCTAGTAGTATCTAATGCGTCTCGCGCAAAGAGCCTGAAATATTCAAGATCTACATTATAAACGCGCGAGTCGTATGTCCAATCGTCTGATGAACGTATATGACTTGACTTCGCTTAGATAGCTCACCGTAGAGTGAGGTCGCGCTGTCAGTTACACAATCTGAGACAGGTCTGTCGACAAATCTACTAAGGAGAATGCGATCGGCCGACGTTGGTGTCCGCCGTTGTAACACGATGGCCGCTTCCAGCCGCTTCTATCGCACGGAGAATAGATATAGGAAAGATTAGGCTCGCGGGTTCGTGGTTGTTATGCGTGCGATGTGATGAATATAGATTGATTGCGTAAGAGGAGAAACGAATGAGCTTCGTTATCTCCTTTTTTTGAGATATTTACCTCGACACCGTTCTGGTTCTGCCCGAGGTCTCATTTGAGACCGTGAAAATAGGCGATGATAGAATTACATGAGCCAATAGGGCCGGTATAAGGATACCCGTCACCGGCAATCTAGATGAATTACCTATCATTTCAAGCGGCAAGTTACATTGTTTATCAAATATACATAGTAACGGAATGACTTACTGCAATTCATTCGGTCTTTTGAAACGGTCGAAATACCGCTCTAATATTTTCGATAGTCGGAAATCCATGTCTAAGACTAACTAACTGTACCCGATTATCGCGGCCTGAATATTCCCAACAGTGTAAAGGAGGGGTGAAGCCCTTACGTTGTTCATCGAGTCTCGATAAGTCAAATTCCATTTCTTTTCTTACACACCGATGCAACCTTGTCATCAATAGTGGTGTGAACTATATAAAAGTTGCGCCCGAAGTTCCCGGCGTAAATCGAACCAACAGCGAGTCAGATCGGAAGAGAGCGGCTTTTATTTTAATTTTATTTTATACAAAACCTTGGTTAAGCGCGGAAGCCCGTGTTGCCACACTTCGACTTCATCTGATTACCCGAAGTTATCCTGTAGAAATGAAAGGGGTAGATAATATTCATATCCGGGACTTGTATTTAATACCATTTGTCTATCGGCATTGGAGCTATTCAAATTTATATATGTTCATCTCTATATTCTGTATTGACTCATAAAAAAAACCCCCCATGTCTTAGTCCTTAGCAGTAAGGAACTTCTCTAGATCCTCAAACTCCCCGCTATGCTTCATCATATCGTAAAACTGTCCCTTGGCCTCGTAGAGCTCTTTCGGGCTTCCGACCCTGAATAATTAGTTAGCTGATGCCCCAATCTCATATTGAAATAAGAACACATACTCAACAGCTGTACCGGCGCTCATAACCACTACGCGGTCGTAGTCGATAATCGTCTTCAGGCGATGTGCGATGGTGACCAGCGTCCTGTCCCTTCCGTGCTCGTTCAGTTCTTTCCTTAGGACTTCTTGGATTCCTTGATCGGTCTCGTAATCCATCTGTGGTAGGAATGTCAGTTAATGCAAGCAGGTAACGGTAAAAGCGAAAGAGGGTAGACTAAAAACACATACGCTTGCAGTCGCTTCATCTAATAGCAGCAACTTGCTTTTGCGTACTAAAGCTCTACAGAGCGAAAGTACTTGCCGTTGACCGTGAGAGAAATTCTCTCCCTTAGGCTTTACCGGTGTCGAAAGAGTGATTCCTATGTCACCTGGCACTTCGTCAGAGTAAGTACCGTTTATCCCGTTAGAATGACCGTTGCCGTTTTGTGCCCCTTCTCCGTTCTGGTGGAATTGGAAAGATGCAATCCCACTGCAGTACTGGAGGGCTTTCTCCAGTGTCTCTGGGGGAATCTTCCCTGTGGGGTTTAGATTGGATCTCACGTCTCCGTTAAACAGGACTGCCTCTTGAGGGATAATTGTAAGTGCTTCTCGGAGCTTCCTACGTGGAAACTTGGTAATGTCTACACCGTCGAAGAGTATTTGCCCCGAAACGATATTCGTGAAGCGTAGTAAAGATAGAACCAACTTCAAGTAAATCCTAAGTCAATACGTTGCCATTTAGATTCTGTGTGTTAGACTTACAGTGCTCTTTCCAGATCCAGTACGTCCGACGACAGCAACCCTCTCGCCGGCGGCAAATTTGAGGTTAATATTCTTCAAGATTTCCGGTCCATCTACATCGTATTTAATGGTTACATTACGGAACTCGACCTGTCCGCTTGTCGGCCAGTTCTCAGGCAAGAGGGATTCGGGATTATCAGAGTGTTCGCCAACGCCTTTGTACTCATCCGGGTTCTCCTCGGGTTTGACAGCGGCATACTCTCGAACTCGATGGAACTATAACTGTATTAATATATGTCCCTGAAGGCATCTCTAAGCTTAACTCACACTCTGCAACTCGATTTCAAGCTCATTGCTTGACCTCACAAGGAATATGATAAGCTGGCTGAGTGTCTGGTTTCCGTATTAGCAAGTCAAGTCTGATAAACTTCGAAACCAAGAACTGCCTTACCGTCGCGTTTGTTAACGAAAACCCGACAAGTCCAGCTGCTACAAGACCTGCTTGGGATACAGCAATAGCACCCGCGGCGACTGTGACCAGGGTGGTAGCCATATCGACCTTAAGCGCGACCCATCGGTTACAATTGTACTGGGCTTCGCAAGCTTTCTCGAACACCCGTAACTTATCCGCCAGTTGATCACCGAAGATTTGAGGCATATTTACGCGAGCGCGGATTACGGCGAGACCAGCTAGACTATCAGCAAACTGGGCGAACAGGGGCGACTGTGAAGATGCTACCAGCCGCTTGATCGCTACGGAAGTTCTCGTGTACATTTCTCCTGCGGCAATCCCAACGGCGCAACAGGCGGCGGCGGGTAACATGAATATGGGAAGTACGGAACCGACGGCTGCAATTTGGAACCCGAGCCGTGTGACCATCTCGACACATAGTCGGAGCACTATATTTAGAAGAATTAGCTTTCGAAGGAGAGATTACCACTATAGTAGTGCCTCGTATGATTTACGGGATACTAGTGTTTGCCTATGCAGTACTGATGCTGCGACAACGGGTCGAGAGATAAATAGGGGCTGACGAAGATTAACGAAGATTGACTTACTCCCAGCCAATGTTGTATCGATAGAGTCCATATCCCGCGAGAACCGGTTGACAACTCGACCAACAGGCGTTGCCTTGTACCAGGAGAGAGGAACACTCATCATAGCTTTTATAAATGTAGAGTGTAGTGACCGCGCGGCATACCAACCGCCGTTCTCATATGCGATGTAGGTCAGTCCATTAAAAACGGCGTCTGCAAGACTCCATAGCGCATAGATGCCAAGATAGAATCCAATGTCGTATGCGTCGTCTCTCCCATACGCGTCAACCCAGACCGCAATCCACAGTCCCGTTCCCACAAACGTGGCAGTAGAAAGGGTACTCATTATAATGGCAAGTATCGCATAGAACGGGTTTCCAAAGAGCCGCATGTATTGAAAGACTTCAAGGATATGCTCATTAGTTCATTTTCATCGCTGAAGGAGTATATAGATAGTTGATAGTAATACTCACATTGCAGACGAGCTGTCTGTCCAGTCTTCATAGCCTCCTGCGTTACTTCATCCCGGTTTCTATCCTGAGAGCTCTTTATGTCGCCATTAGGTTTCTTTCCATTAGTAGTTAAGCCATTACCCTCGACGCCGTTAGAAGCTGCTGTTTCCGCGGTCATGTCGACATTGCCATCATCAAGAGTCGTTGAATTTAACGTCACGGATTTCCGAACGACGCCGAGATTCTGTTCAATGTTCTTGACCGAGCCATTTTCTAAAGCTATTGAGAGGTCCGCCTGAGGCGCAATCCATGGCATTTGGGTAACAAGCACCACGGTTCTCCCTTTGACTATAATTTCAACAGTTAGTTAAGTTCGAATTAGAATAAATCTTAGGGTTAGATGATATGCTAACAGCATCTAAATGTTCTTGGTAGAGTGGCCTGTACCTTGAAATATGGTTGAAGGGGGTTCTATACAAGTCTAAAATATACTTACGTAGATCACCGCAGAAAGCTTCTTCCCACAACAATGCCGACGTCTTAGAATCCAAAGCAGAAAATACGTCGTCAAGTAGGATCACAGAGGCTTTCGAGTATAGTGCTCGTGCGAGAGCAACTCGGGACTTCTGACCTCCAGATAGGGAGGCCCCGTTCTCGCCGACTTCAGTACCGTCTCGTTCCAGGAACTCGTTAAAGTCGATCGGAAGGCCACAGGCGTTTATCACTCTGTCATATCGTACCTGCTCGAAGGGGCTGTTGAAAAGAATGTTCTCGCGAATCGTCTCGTTTTGCAACCAAGGACTCTGAGACGCGTAGGCAATATCCTTAGGGCATGTAATTTCGCCGCTCTCAAGAATGGTCTCGCCCAGGATCGACATGAGGAGTGTTGACTTCCCACTTCCGCTCGGGCCCGTTACTACATTTAACCCACCTTCGACAAAATCGATCGAGATATCTTTCAAAGCAAACGACGCATTCTTATTGCGCCTGAAAGTAGCATTGCTGACATGAAGCGGGCCAACTGGATGATAACGCAAGGGTGTGGTGTTATTGAAGTAACGGTCTAGACGTTTGATAGAGACGCTTGCAGCGGTGATTCCTCGTGACATTTGAGATGCTTGCGACAGGTTTCGGCGCAGCGTCCGGACCAATGTTATTGCTGTGAAAGCGACATCTGCCGTCAGGGGCTCTTTGCGTGCTAGTACCTGCAAGGCAAATATAAGAACCAGTGATAGATTGGGGATAGCTTCGGTAAGCTGATTTAGGGCGATATAACTAACATTCGAACATCAGTACGTCTTGAAGTAGTGGTATTAGGAGAGGCCTAACTTACAGAATATTTAGGGACCATATTTTCTTTTGCTCACCGAACCTAATCTCGTTGACTCGGTTGATAATAGCCTCTTCCCAAGAGAAATATTTGATCGCTCTAATTGAGGCAAGGTACTCTGAAATGGCTGAAATTCTCGAGTCTTGTATTCTCTTCATATCATGTTGGATATCTACCATACGCCGAGCGATCAGAAGCGGAAGCGGTGATAGAAGTATCATTACAACAATGCCAACAAGGGCTGACCAGTCTAACAATTCATACAGACCCCAGAGAGCCACGATTGATCCAACCGATACTCCGCAGACTACTAGGACGATGTCTCGAGCTCTTATAATGGATTCTATATCAGCACCCATGAGGTTTGCCAAACGTCCCGTCGACGTAGTGCCCTGTTTAATTGTTTCACCTTTGCCTACGGTAGCAATCTCGGCGAACACATCGTCGTCTAATTCCATTGAGTCCATTGCTTTATAGTATAACTCCTGCGTCAATGCAGTTCTGACACGTACAACTAAACGAGTCGAAGTGAAGATGTATTGCTGATAACACACAGAACGCGACAGTGGACCGACAAACAGGAGTATTAGCCAAACCCAGGGTCGAAATGGAGACTTCTCGGGGTTAGTTAGGAAGCCAAGCAGTTTATACATAGCATACGGTGCTATGAGTTCGAGAAGGAAAGCAAAGACAACCCATGTGCTCATAGCGGCGATTTCCTTAGGTAGGAAGTATGCCAGCGTCCAGAGCGTGGACTTGCCTTTCCGACGTGCCTCCTTAATCCTAGAAAGGAGAAGCTTCGGGTCGTCATACCATGGGAGTGTAGGAAGCTCATCTAGAGTCACCTGTCGACGCATACCCCTGATCATGAGAGGCGTAAGCCATTCGTACGTTACGAAGTACTCCAACCAACTGCAGGTCTCTTCGGGAGAGGGTTCTTTAATTGGTATCTCCTCGTAGAAATCGAGACTCAACGATGGGGGTATCCATTTTCTTGGTGTAATAAGAGCTACCAAAACAGCAGCAGTCAAAGTTGATACACTACAGATTACCATTGGACTCAAATTCTTAGAGAAATCCGTATCGATATACGGAAGAAGTTCCTCTACAGCAAGGATGAATAGAGACCCAGCAAGGACGGTATTAACGTGATGAAGGGCAACATGTCTCCACTCTAAATCATTGATCAGTCGCAAGATTCCAAGAATGAAGGCATAGGCCAAGACGGTAACATCAGTCCACCGGCCTGCATTCTGGGTAGCAGCAACGATCGTAAAGGCTAGAGAAGCAGCCCGAAAGATCTGGCCGGATAACTCAAACGGTAATGATATTCCTTGGATATTCCCTTCAGGTTTAGAAACCTTAGAGTAGGGGCGGTGAAGTAGATATCTGATAATGACAAAGAAGGACGCAACGACGATAGTAAGTTGTAGGTAGCCAGCTTTGGCAAAATGAGAAAGGCTGTGAACCCATTGAAGGTCCGAAGCACTATATGAGTCAGTTATGAGAGTCATATCCTCTTATCCGGGGAGAACGTACGTATTCTTTTCATAGTCGCTCTTCAAAGTAAAAAAAGATTGGGAGCGGAAAGGAACCGCGTCCCAACCATAGTTTCTAAAGATGACTTGATCCATGGCTTTTCATGGTAGTGACTCGAACTTCAACATCCAGATATGATGAGTGGTGATAAACACTCAATTAGTCAACACAGACATTGAGAAGAGTCAACCTGTTATTCGGTTAATTAATACTCGGTACCAACCTATCTAGGTACCTAGGTAGATTGCGTGCTCGGCGACAATTATAGGTAGGATAGGTAGGATAAGCTCGGAGCCTAGTTTAGAAAGGACCCCTGCCAAGAGGGGAAAATTTAATCTTAATTGCCTGAAGCTATTCTGACTGGACTACGGATCCTATGTTACGAGCTTCGATATATACCCAGCAAAGCAGATCTACACCGGTATACCGGCGCCTACGCCTACCTCAGCTATTCGATACCTATAATCTAAGGTGGGTTGCAGTTCTTTCACCGACTGAGTCACTTGTCTTAATCCGGGTAGGTAACGTCCAAAGATGCATATGTATAGCGCAGCATAGTGGAGCGTCAGCAGGATCACCTCATTCGGACGCACCATGAGCTCTTCTTCTTCTTCTTCTTACTAGCTAGGGGAACGATAAGATAGAATTTGATGAGCGATGAGAGAGGTACACAAGCGAGTAAGAAAGCGACGACGGTTAGTAACTGGCCTATAGTATAAATGGTGTTGAGCATGAGACTCGGAAAAGGTTGGTTTTGGGGTAGTGCAAACAGTCAATCGGAAAGTCTCCGAACCAGACATATTTCCTCATTAGGTATACCAGTAGTAGTATTTATAGATCGTCGACTTTGTTAATATGCCTTACATTGGGTAGGCAGATATATGACTTCGATTAGGAGTCATGATTGTAGTTGTAAGAATGTGAGTTTATGAGAAAGACTAGAGGTCTTGAAATAGTGAATACAGTGCGCTATTACACTCTTCTGTCCTAAAGTATCTCTTAATGTACAATTAGGTAATCAGATTAAGCTTTCGCAGGGCTAGGTACATGAGGTACTCATGTAATTACAGCGGGGTACGTATCAGCCACGAACAGTCAAAGCGTGGCGCGTATCTTGACTTGGTTCGAGCTTGTTGCATTAACTTTTTGCCTTCCCAATATCACATTGACAATGCCGTAGAACGCGACAACAAAATACGTACATGTAATATATCAGTGACTCACCGCCGGAATACTCATAACGACATGAAATGCGAACGATATACTAAAGTGTCGCTCGTTTCTACCTCTCGAGGCTTGCGCTAACGTTTATCCACGACGCTCCCCCAACTCGATAATATCCTATTCTTCCCAGTAGCATCGACATAATGGATGACGACTTCGCCGAGCTCGAGCTTTTGTCGCTCGTGTCAAAGGTTACCTCTGAGCTTCAGAATCACTTAGGCATTTCCGAAAAGACTCTAGCCGAATTTATTATTGCTAAACGACTAGAATGCAACGGTTTCTCCGAGTTTAAGAGCGAGTTGGCCAAATTAGGCGGCGCAAGTTGGCCTGACAGTTTATTCGACAGTGTCGATCGTCTGGTCCGGACTATGCATCCTAAATTCAGGGCCGAGAAGGAAGCAGCAGAGGAAGACCATCAGCCAGTTCGGACCTTCGAAGAGAAAGAGACACTTTTCAAGGGCCTTAGCATTCCTGACAAGGAAGTTAAGGCTGGAAATGGGGACGATATCGATGAGACGTTAGCGCTATTGGAAGGATTGGAGGGTAAGGCTAGAGGCACGCGTTCAGAAAGAGCATCGAGAAAACGGTCACGTAGCCCCGAGAGAGAAGACGGTACGGACTCGGGACATAAGAGAAAAGAGAGATACCGTTCTAGGGATCGTAAGGATCATAGAGATCGAGGATATGACGATGATGATTATAAAAGTAGCTTTAGAGAACGAGGAAGCCGAAGGGACGGGCGCGACGAACATCGATCACACCGCAACGGTGACAAAGAGAGGAGACGGAAATATGACGACGAGGACGACAATGATCGTAGACTCAAGTACGCTCCCGAACCCGAAGTCGACGATTCACCTATATTATACAAAGTATACGATGGTCATGTCACTGGTCTTAAAGATTTTGGCGCATTCGTCAATTTACATGGTGTGAAAGGCAAAGTAGATGGAATGGTACATATTTCAAATCTAGTTCAAGGCCAAAGAGTCAATCACCCTTCGGATCTATTGACAAGGGGTCAGGATGTCAAGGTCAAAGTTGTCAAGATTGAAGCGAACAGAATAGGACTATCTATGAAGGATGTCGATCAGGAGACAGGTATGGACCTTGCACCTCAAGCTAGAATACAGTCGGGCGCCAATATGGAGAGTCTTGGTAGTCGGAACGGTGTTGCTCCTCGAAACGACGACAATTTGGCTGCACTTTCTAATTATACTGGCCCTCCGAGACAGCATAAAAAGAGGATGACCTCTCCAGAACGATGGGAGATACGACAACTTATTGCTTCCGGCGTGGCCAAAGCTTCAGATTATCCCGATTTAGAAGAGGATTATAATGCTACATTGAGAGGAGAAGGTGAAATGGAATTAGAAGAGGAAGTCGATATTGAAGTGAGGGAGGAGGAACCCCCCTTCCTCACGGGTCAAACAAAGCAATCACTCGAATTATCGCCGATTAGAGTTGTGAAGGCGCCAGATGGTTCATTGAACCGTGCGGCAATGTCAGGTACGGCACTAGCGAAGGAAAGGAAGGAACTACGACAACAAGAAGCGGAAGCTGCACAGGATGACTCAAAGGTCGATCTTGCATCTCAATGGCAAGACCCAATGGCAAACCCTGATAATAGAAAATTTGCTAGTGATTTGCGCACTACAAAAACAATTGCGCCAAAACCTGACGCCGTACCTGAATGGAAGAAAGCTGTCGCACCTAAAGATCAATCATTTGGTAGACGAACCAATATGTCTATTAAGCAACAAAGGGAAAGCCTTCCCGTCTTCGCTTTCCGAAATCAGCTTATTAAAGCTGTGCACGAGAATCAAATCCTAATTGTCGTAGGTGAGACTGGATCCGGCAAAACTACTCAACTTACTCAGTACCTTGCTGAGGCCGGCTTCACCAACAATGGCATGATAGGTTGTACACAACCACGTCGCGTCGCAGCCATGTCCGTGGCAAAGCGTGTCGCGGAAGAAGTTGGCTGTCAGTTGGGTCAAGAGGTCGGCTATACCATTCGTTTCGAGGACTGCACAAGCCCAGCAACCAAAATCAAGTACATGACAGATGGTATGTTGGAGCGTGAGATCCTGCTTGATCCCGATCTAAACCGATATTCGGTTATCATGCTGGATGAAGCCCACGAGCGAACTATCGCAACCGATGTTCTTTTCGCGCTTCTCAAGAAGACCATCAAGCGTCGAAGCGACTTGAAGATCATTGTCACATCAGCTACTCTAGACGCTGACAAATTCTCGGCCTACTTCAACGAGTGTCCCATCTTCACCATTCCCGGTCGCACGTTCCCTGTGGAAATCTTATATAGCAGAGAACCTGAGTCGGACTACCTCGATGCAGCTCTGGTGACGGTCATGCAGATCCACCTTACGGAACCCCCTGGAGACATCTTGGTCTTCCTTACGGGCTCGGAGGAAATCGACACTGCGGCAGAAATTCTGTACGAGCGAATGAAGACCCTTGGCCCGGGTGTCCCTGAGCTGATCATTCTTCCGGTATACTCAGCACTCCCCAGTGAGATGCAGAGCAGGATTTTTGACCCTGCGCCTCCTGGCTGTAGAAAGGTTGTGATAGCTACCAATATCGCCGAAACCTCTATCACAATTGATCACATCTACTACGTTGTGGATCCCGGCTTCGTCAAGCAGAATGCTTACGATCCAAAGCTTGGCATGGATTCTTTGGTTGTCACGCCTATCTCGCAAGCTCAAGCTAACCAACGCGCCGGCCGTGCCGGACGAACCGGTCCAGGCAAATGCTTCAGATTGTATACTGAGGCCGCCTATCAGTCTGAAATGCTTCCGACCACCATTCCGGAGATCCAGCGCCAGAATCTAGCGAATACAATTCTTATGCTCAAGGCTATGGGTATTAACGATCTCCTTCACTTCGACTTCATGGACCCGCCACCTACAAACACCATGTTGACTGCCCTAGAAGAATTGTATGCCCTGTCAGCATTGGACGACGAAGGCCTTCTAACTCGTCTTGGTCGTAAGATGGCCGATTTCCCTATGGAACCCGCCTTAGCTAAAGTCCTGATCGCCGCGGTTGATATGAGCTGTTCCGACGAGATTCTTAGCATCGTAGCCATGTTGAATCTTAACGTGTTTTACCGACCGAAGGAAAAGCAATCTCAAGCCGATCAAAAGAAGGCCAAATTCCACGATCCGTCCGGCGATCATCTTACCCTTCTCAACGTCTACAACGCCTGGAAGCAGAGCGGCTTTTCGGCTCCGTGGTGCTTTGAGAACTTCATCCAAGCACGTTCAATGAAGCGAGCGAAAGATGTCCGCGAGCAGATAGCGAAAATTATGCAGCGCTATCGACATCCCATCGCTTCCTGCGGCCAAGATACCCAGAAGGTCAGACAAGCTCTGTGCTCGGGCTTCTTCCGCAACTCAGCAAGAAAAGACCCTCAGGAAGGCTACAAGACTTTGGTCGAGGGTACACCAGTCTACCTACATCCAAGCTCGGCACTATTTGGAAAACAGGCAGAGTGGGTCATCTATCACACGCTGGTTCTCACCACAAAGGAATACATGCATTACACCACTAGCATCGAACCTAAGTGGCTTGTCCAAGCTGCACCTACCTTCTTCAAGGTTGCGCCTACGGACAAGCTCAGCAAGCGGAAGAAGGCTGAGAGGATCCAACCGCTATACAATAAGTACGCAGCAGAAGACGACTGGAGACTCAGCGCCCAGCGAAAGGTTGGACGGTCTGGCGGAGGAGGTGGTACCTGGGGTTAATAGTGGAGGCGTTTTGTGTACAGCTGCCCTCATTAAAGATGATCCAAAGGCGGATCAAATGGCAGACCTACAGTGTGTCCCCAATAGTTCCATAGTCCCTCTTGCTAGCGGTTCTGGAAGGTTGATATTTAGCACAAGGGAGTTCGGTGTATTCCTTACCGCGACCTTCACCGCGCATAGGCCAGGTAGTTTTAAGCAATAGAGATTTATATTAAATCCTTGTGTTTCCGTTGCACAGAGTGTTCCACCGGCGAACACAAACCCGCTTCCCGTCTTTTAAATCACCGTTTCTATTAATAACCTAATTCCCTGATACTGTTCGGATGTTGGGGATTCCACAGGCGCCCTTGCGTGGTACAGACTACGTACAGCTCAGGAGAGGCTGACGTATACGTCCGAAACATATCACCATGGCAAACCGGCGGTGTGAAGAATCAGGTGCTTACCCATATATCCCAGTTTGCGGTGTTGGTAATTTCATTATATAGTTGTTGTCCGGGTACACTCCCTATGAACCATGATGCTGGGATATATGTAGGTACGTATTCAAGTAGCTTCCAGGTAACTTATTTGTATCTAGATGGTAGCTTGAGTTTAAATGACGTGGTTGGGTTCCTATGGAGACATATGTCTAATATAATCCTTTGAGGTAGCACAAGATAGATAGATGATAGAAACCTTGGAGGTTGAGGGGCAACAACTTAGATACGCACGCCTTGCATATTCAATCACGATCTAATTAGGTAGGGAACCTCGTCGATAATAAGACTAAGTTTACTACTGGGTATGTCGGCGCCGGATTAGATTGGAACGGACGTGGAAGGGATAGAATGCGAGCTTTGTTTGGACGGTGCCGCTGTGGTCTAGGCACGGCTTTCGACATTAAGAGTTAGAGTATGTATAATTCAGATAAACGCTAACTTTCATATATAACAAGAAGACTATTCTTAGTTGATTATAGTTGTCTGTGTAACGGTGCCGAGATTTAGATGGTGGTAGTTAAGGAATTCTAAAGAACCCCGAGGCAACGGATCGATATTTCAAACGGCATGTTACTTGGTCTAAGATAATTATTTGATATACACTCATTCTTTTACACTACTTACATAGTAAATGCGTGAATAGTATTCCTAACTAACCATAAGTTCTAGTTGCCTTGGATATAGATAGTTGCTGTAAGACCTGAAATCTCAGATCGGCCATCGATCGGTATCATTGCCGAGACGCCACTTACATACCTTGAAATCCACAAGGTACCTATGTATTGGAATGCGTTGCCGTCATATTTACCTTTAGCTCGAGCCTCGTGTTCTCCATAAATAGAGGCCATACATACATACATATAAGACACTGCTGAGAGACATTGACTCAGCCACCTCCGATGGGATTGATTATTCCGAAGAAGCACTGACGCAGAGACTGCTTACTACCTAACATATGTATATACATACTAACGCAAACCTGTTTACGAAAGCTACGAGCGGTATAAAAAAAATGTATTGTCAAGGATATATCTGTGAGAAAGCTGTAGGTTAGTGCTCTTAAGCATGGGTTGCCGGAGGAATGCGTCCCTCCTTGCCTTACCGTCACTTCAGGACATTACTGACATTCGAGTCCGTATTAACTAACGTCTTATGCATATGTAGTAGAATCAGAAGAGTAAATTCACATGTGATGACCCTTACGTGCAGCTCGTATAGAAATACACAAGTTCCTCATCCACGATCCTAGCTCTCGATAGTGATAGTGATGATAATAACAATTAGGGCTCCGGCCCGTCGATACATATATCGGCGCCGGCGTGCCGGAGTGAAGGATACCTCGTAGCTTGCGAGAAGTCGTAAGTTGACTTCGTATAGTAGTATACGGACATGTAACTATGCAGTAATTAAAACACGGCCTTACTCCTAGCTGCACCGTATCCTATGTGTAAATCACACATACATATAAACATACACACATATATATTGCACAGCGTCGGCACTTTGACGCCCGTCAATATACATATAAATTACCTACAGCGAGCCACAGATCAGACCAGACCAGATCCGTCTTCCCACAAACCATAAGCAACGACGACAAATCCCCTAGTTAAGCACATATTCCCCCTCATGTTTAGACCTTAGGTAGAGAGTAAGAAGTAAGACGGGTAATATCGCGGCCCTAGGTTAACGTTCCATCGTGCCAAGGCCCAAGTAATCCAGCAACGCGGGCGACGCCGTTTCATTTAGAGCGCCTGGCAGACTGTCGAAGCGAGGGCATGGCAATATCGCTGGACCCCTACATACTATCCATGGTCGCGTGCAATGTGTATGAGATGGAGTTGTTGGCTTCTTTACGTAGCGTAGTATTTAGGTATGTAGACGCATCCAACTGCCTACATAACGTACGGCATACATACAACAAATGCAGCCATGTATGCAGGCACGGGACTTCGAAATTGGGTCGTGGGGAGCGTATGTACGTATGTATGTAGTATACATACACATAGAGCCCTTGTATACATACGCATATGGCGAGCGACATTTGAAATCTCCAACGGACCAGAGCGAATAAGGGATGGGGAAAAGGAGGAAAAAGGGTCTTTGGAGGATTTTAACCAACGCACCCCAATACCACCCACCTTACCAGCCCCTAACCCCTAACCCAATCAATATTTCCCGGAATACCGGTATAAATCACTGTTGATCGCAACCTTCCTCCCTCCCCCCATTTCTGCGGGGAGGGGTCTTGTGGCTCTCTTGCTCACGGCCTCCTTGCCTGTTATGACGTCGATCACTCTACTTCAACCGGTCGAACGAATTCCCAGAATGACGCCGATCGTAGTCATCTTAGGGACCACGGGACGTTGGGGATCGGCCGGGGGACGGGCCAGCCTAATTCTGCACGTACATAGAAGCTAGAAGCACGCGCCGGCGCCGTACCAAAGCCCTACGTGTCTAACAAGGAAATGACCTTCGTTGAGGAGAACCGTCACTGAATTATCATTGGTAGCTTGGATTAGACCCTTGGAGAAAATTATAAATCTTCGCTTGGTTGATTACATATGTAGTACTATACTCTAGTTATAGGAAAAGGCACCTTTGTTTGCGACTGCGGTGCGCAGGTGACTAATAATAATATTAATGAATGGTATCTACTAGCATCCCGTGCCAATTATATCCTGAACGCCAATTCGCCTATATTCCCCCATCCCACGAAGCGGTGTATGGATTCAAGCTACCGCTGCTGCCGCCACCAGAGTGTCGAGAGCAGAGCTTTGCGTACCAGCTGTCGCATTTCCGAAAGGTCCTGCCCAAGTAGTTCCAAGCTGGTTCTTGTCGTTGCGGTTCTTAGCCCAAATCGTATCCGCGTTGGTGAGCAAGAAGTTCTTGATGGGTTCCATAGGCGCGGCCTCTTGCAGGTAATGTAAGTTGCGCATGAAAACGCCCTTGAACTGCGCACCGTCGCTACCGCAGTTCGGTTCGCAGCCTTCAAAGAGAATGCCATCCTTGGATAGCTTAGTAATAGCAGCTGAAGCAATAGTCTGAGCCGTGGTAAGTAGCGATTTGTCGCCCGTAGCTTTGGAAAGCTCCACCAATCCACCCAGAATTACCCCCTGGTTGTAAGTCCAGGTTTGCATACCGTTGTTCTTGCAGTCATCAGTAAGCCCATCGTTGATCAAATTATCCTTATTAATCAGACCGCTATTCTTGAACCAATTCCATTGGGTTTTGGCGATGTCGAGAAAGTAATCCTTTCGAGAGGGAATCCGGTTCGCAAGAGATGCCGCGACAGCAAGGTACAACTCATTTGCGATGGCATTGGTGTATGGAGTTACTTTGCTCCAGAAAATACCACCGCAAGTAGAGTTACCCCCCTTCATATCCTCGAAGATCTCGACTGCGGCTTGGATGTACTGCTGATCTCCAATACCCTTGACACCAACATCATGGCTGTGGATCATAGCTAATGCCCACCAACCTTCATCGTCGTAATAATCATTAAGAAAGTTGTCGAAACCCCTTTTGCCAATCTCTGCTCTTTTTGACACTGGTACTCTGACATACGTTGATACGGGAAGTCCTATCGGGGACAAAATTTTTGTCGCTTGAACTTGGGTTTTTTGCGCTTGATCATACTACGGCGCTTATAATTAGCAATTGGCCAAGCGCAAATAATCTTGGAGCTATGTTTTTGAATAGCATAGCTTGTTTCAAGCAATTTAGGCGCCCAAACAAAGCCAGGGGGGGAGAGAGATGTGAAAATTTTGGGTCTACTTACGGTATTCTGAATGATCTCTGGGATATTCAGGCTGATGGAAGCTGCCGGATCAACGAGCGCAAAGTCGGCCAACACAGTTAAGCAATTGGCACTATTCCACCATCCAGTGGTATCCCAAAGACCTGTCTCGCGATTATACCATGTTTGCAAAGCTTTCAACCCGTCGACGGTGTGCGAGGCATATGTTGCCTGGTCTGCGCGGTGGTTGAGGTGACTAGACATTAAGAAAATAGCCCTGGAGGCCAGGGAGCCTACGAAAGAAGAGGAAACCATGGCGATGATACTATAGTTAGAAGAACTAGAAGAACTAGAAGAAGAAGAATACGTTTCGTATGAGGGGCAGAAGTTTTCCAGAAACTTGCCGGCAAAAGAATGACCTTATATAAAAATGCAGGAAAAGACTGTGAGTCGCCACTTGATGGTCGATGGAGTGAAGAGTGAATGTGTAAAGTCGATCACAGTCACAGGATATTAAGGGAGAGTAACGAGGATGTGGACCGTGCCATCGAAACAACCCTGGCACCTGGGCAGAGAGAGAGCTCACATATCATCGGTACATAAGACGTACATAGTCACAACATTACTCACATGAGCCTGCCACGGATCTGATCAGACATGTACAAAAGGTAATAATACAAATTCCAGACATGGGTCGTCTCGAGGACCCGTAGATCAGGTTGGCAGTAGGGCTGGTAGGACCAGACAAGGAGACAAGGAGACAAGGAACTCTGTGCGAG